CTCACACACACACACACACACACATATATATATAGTGTCATAGGTTTGTTATTATGTTGATCAATGCCAAGATGAATATCTATATATATATATATATATGTATGGTTATTAATATGCAAGTGAGTCTATGTGCGTGGATATGTAATGCATACTATAATTTGTACATCATATTTTGTTGTTGATTTTTTGACCAATCCAGATGTGGAAAATATAAATGAAACAATTCAGGCGATGGATGAGCAACAGAAGGAGCTCAGAGAATACTACTACAACACACAGGTGTGGGTAGAACGGTCTATGATGAACAAAGTGTGGATTCCTCTTTGGGATTGAATTTTCTGGATTATTACTGACAATTGAACCAAAATCTATACAGGAACCGCGGCCAAATACCATATACTATAGACAAGATGGGTCCCGAAATACTGGGCAAAACAGACCGAAACTGGACGACATTTTTAACAAAGGCGGTGTAGATGACACTACTGATGAGAGCACTAGTGCGGCACAACAAGAAGAAATGTTTGAAGTAAAACAGCTCGATACCACCGGAGCCATAAAGTTTGGCTGGGTCAAGGGCGTGTTAGTTCGTTGTCTGCTTAATATTTGGGGTATGTTTGACATGGCAAGCTTCAGCCGGGTGACAAAATGCTTACTGCGGATATCACATATATGACCTCTCCAAGATTCATATAAGCACATGATCTCGATGATCGATGTGCGTTACATAATATTTCTCAGTCCATTTTTCAGATTGTCGTCTACGAAGATTTTAGTTTGGGTGTATCATGTTTTCATGTACCGCAGCTTTGACTTCCTGGAAAGCCGAGGTGGTTGCGTTTGATGATTCAAAACAGGCGACTCATCCAGCTCATTTGTACACCGCCAACAGGTGTGATGCTATTCATTCGTCTGTCCTGGGTTGTGGGCCAGGCAGGTATTGGATTGGCTAGTTGTGTCATCCTGCTGAGTACCGTGGTGACCATAATCACGACTGTCTCGATGAGCGCTATATGTACCAATGGCGAGGTGAAAGGTGGCGGAGCATATTATTTGATCTCGCGCAGTTTAGGCCCAGAGTTCGGCGGTGCCATAGGACTCATCTTTTCGTTCGCCAATGCTGTTGGTGAGTATACCAAACGGTGTACGCATGTCTGCATTGCTTCTCGGCATCACATGCAACTTAAGTGCTGAGTGATACTTGAACTCAGTTTTCGCACTATTTTCCACATGGATTAGGAATGCTCGCCGAATATGTGGAAATCTACACCACGATAGGAAGGTGTGGCACTATTGTGACATTTGATTTCATCACAACTACCGGGGCCGTTGAACAGATTTCAAACAATACCGCCACTCCTTTATGATTCAGGTATCGCTCTGTACGTGGTGGGATTCGCAGAAACTGTGTTTGAGATCATGAACAACAACGATGCCACGTGGTTTGGGAAACAAGCCGATGTGCGAATTATAGGGATCATAACTATCACGTTGCTACTCGGAATCGCCATGATTGGCACGTCCTGGGAAGCAAAAATCCAACTTGTACTGCTGACCGTACTATCTGGGGGTATCGTGGTGTTTATGATTGGCTCGTTCGCTGGACCTGATGCGTTGCAGCGCGATCAAGGTATGTGGGCTCACCAAGCGCCTAACTTTCCTGTTGCTGCAACATGTGCCAATGGTACTTGTTTGCAACATGTATTTCGGTACTGTCTTCCTGGCGGTGTGTTTATATCGATGAGCCAACTATCACTTCACCAAAAACCACCACTTCGGCTTTAAGGTCATATCCTATAAGATTTTATTTATGCCGGGATGCTTTGAAATCACCCAATTTACAGGTTTTGTGGGGTACTCCACCTCAGTTTTCAGCGACAACTTTGGGCCGCACTGGCAGGGTGAAACATTCTTCTCGGTGTTTTCGATTTTCTTTCCGGCAGCCACCGGTATATTGGCTGGCGCAAATATGTCTGGAGACCTCAAAGATGCCCAAAAAGCCATTCCTAAAGGTACACAGTAGTGTAAGATTTGTCTCTCCAGCTCGATTAACCACTGAAATATTCCCGACAGCGCTCTGAATTACACCCATGGATCATACGCAGTGACGCACCAAATGCTAAAACATAGGATCAGCGAGCAAGCTACCCTCCACAGGTCATTTACATAGTCGGGAATACGAACATATCTCATCCCAACATTGCTCAAATTCTCTTTGTGTCTTCATATATCACTACAGGCACTTTCCTCGCTATTGGAATCTCCACCACTGTTTACCTCGTCATGGCCTGGGTGTGCGGGTTCTGTGTTCTCCGGCAGGTGATTGACACTCGGGCATCTGCCGACGCCAATTCTACGGTCTATTCGACTGAATACGGACTGCTATATAGTTACGATGTCGTCGCCATGGTTTCCATCTGGTCTCCCTTGGTGTACGCGGGAATTTTCAGTGCAACTCTGTCGTCGGCCCTGGTATGTACTATTGACCACGGGATCTCTGTCAAGACGCATCAAAGTTTTCTGACTTGTCTATTTTATGCGGTTGAAAGTGTATCCGATCTGCGCACGATAAATTTTATCATAATCATATCTTCATATGCGCCATTACTGTACAGGTATCACTCGTGTCGGCGCCTCGAATCTTTCAAGCCGTGTGCAAAGACAAGCTGTTCCCATACACCAGCTACTTTGCGGTGGGAATGGGTCCAGGTGATGATCCGATGCGTGGGTATTTCCTAGCGTACGGAATTGGGCTGATCTTTGTGCTAATGGGCGAACTTAACACTATCGCACCGGTCCTGAGTAATTTCTTCCTCATGAGTTATGCGCTGATCAACTACTCCTGCTTTGCGTTATCTATGTCGAAGTCACCAGCCTGGCGACCTGCTTTCAAGTATGTTGCAAATTTGGTCAGGATTGATCTTAGAATACAATTTATCTACTAGTGACAACAATGTCGTGTTACAGAAAGTCACTGGAGGACAGAATATACAAAACCTGCGTATTGCCAGCAAAACACTTGGTAAGAGCATTTAATTGCACTATTCATACGTCACAGATGCTTCAAAGCATGGGCTAATTTGTGTTTTCTTTTTGAAACTTCGATAGGTACTATAACAAGTGGTTATCGCTGATCGGTGCGCTGCTGTGTCTCGCCATTATGTTCATCATCAATTGGGTAGCAGCCTTGATATCGATTGCTATCATCTTTGTGGTCTACAAATACATCGAATGGGCCAAACCCGATGCAAATTGGGGCTCGGCGGCACAGGCTGCGCAGTACATGAAAGCCCTGGACAACATGCTGGAGCTTGAAATCACAATAGAACACGTGAAAACTTTCAGACCGCAGGTAAATGATCAAAGCTGTTTATCAGTTGTTCCTGCCCATCGAAGGCGTCTTAATTTCATTTTAAATACGGAAATCGTATCGATCTGGTGTTGTGAGTAACCTCTTTTTTCTGACCGCCGCAGCTGCTCGTTATGCAAGGCGACATGTCTCAACGATATGAGCTGCTACGGTTGGCCTCCTACTTTTCGCAAAGATATGGGTTGCTGCTTGCCACGAACATTATTACAGGCTTGGACTTTGAAGAAAACGGTATCAAATATTTGGACGATGTGAAAAGTCGAGAACTCGCCCTACTGGACAGGAAGAAGCTGAAGTATGTGCTGCGATGAAGGCTGTTTGGATTTCACATACTTGCAGTGATCGAGTGCCCATTTTCTTAAGAGGCGGCTTGTATTGTTTGAATCTGAAATGGCTTAAGATACGTGAGACGTTTATCAGTTCGGACATTACTCATTGATAGAACACTTAAAAAGCAAAATCTACCAATCTTAACCACCTGTAACACTATAGCTTGTATATGTATGATCTCACGATACCTGGACAACTATAAGATAGTCGCCCTGATCAATAGTAATCCGTATCCCAATTTCTCAATTGAGTTTCGGTTTGGCTCAATTTTGGAAATGCAGGGTATTCCTAGATGTTTTCTTGGCTGGGACGTTGAGAGAGGGTTTGCGCCAATCGCTGCAGATCGGAGGTATGGGTAAAATGCGGCCGAATACCGTAATGTTCGGCTTCAAACATGATTGGATTCGCGACATGCAAGAGGTACCTGAGTACGTGGGTATGATTGAAGACTGTCTTACTTCTAAGATGGGTGTCATTGTGGCTCGAGGCACTCGAGACAACGAGCATATGGACACCATCTTCAGCTTCTTCGAAGGTATGCCATTGCTAGTTACAATTGCTTGCATCGTTTAGTAGCTGTTGTATGCAAAGATACCGTATTGCGTTTCAATACAAGCATCTCAGATCGGTTTCAACACAATAATAATCAGGGAAGCACCGACCCAAGAAAACTATCGATGTTTGGTGGCTTGGCGACGATGGTGGATTGACCATACTCATACCTTATCTGATTACCAAATCGAATTTTTGGTCAAAATGTAAATTGCGAATCCTTACTGTTGGCGAGGGCATGGACATGACCACTGAGAGGTTACGTATGACCAGGCTACTGAGGAAGTTTCGAATCAGTGGGGAAGTGGTTGTAGTGGATAACCAATCTGACAACCCATCTCCGGAAAGTATCGAGATGTGGCAACAGTACGGAGTTGGCATGAAAGGGGAACTCACTAACAGGGTAAGTATACTCGCTAGTTTATATATAGAACAAGAGTCACAAACCTACTAGTCCTGGAATTGGATATTACAAAGTGCAGGTGTGTGGACGGTATTAATAGAGGTATAAGCTTTTGGCCTTCAGCTAAATCAAAAGAAGCTTATATTTGCTTTTTCCGTCTTAGATTCGACGATACTTAAGGCTGAGAGAACTCATGAAAGAATACTCTGACGAAGCGTCCTTGATATTCATGACTTTGCCAGTGCCACGTAAAACCGAGGAAAGGTATGTGCTGCTGATTGATATTCTTAGCTACCGATAAAAATAGCCATTTGTTGTCGACCCATTCTACCTCTATATACTTGCTGAAACTTTATTTGCGTTCCTAAGTTTCATCAAGTCTCGCGATATACCGGCAAACTGGCAGAAAGGTTTTCGATTGCCTTGATCAAAGATATTACTGTTGCATGCCTCTTCCCTTCTTAATCGACATAAGTCAGTAACATACATAATTTACATTCACAGCACGGTTTATATGGCTTTCCTCGATCTTATGTCCGTGGATCTGCCGCCCACCTGTTTGATAAGGGGGAATCAACAGTCTGTGCTCACATTCTATTCATAACGCTGAAGGTCTTCCAAGGAGAAGAAAACAACCTTTGGTGCAGCGTTAACTTGCTTGCCTTTCTGTGTGATGTGTGAGCAATATTAACTTTGAGTTAAGCGCCATCCTCGTATTGCGGGACTGACGACGTTTTTGCGAGCTTAAAGTGAGACACGTCCCCTGGGGAGGACATCTTCGTAGTTGTCTTACTATCGCCACATTCACCCAAGGTGACTGGGTTTGTCAGTTTCAGTAGGAGGCTTGGTTGCCTCCGATCAACGCTGGCATTAATGTCAACTTATGATTTGAAGATTGGCAAAGACATCACAAGTACTTATTTTGCGTTCTATGGTATAGCCTAAGAACATATAGTAATTTGCTTCGAATCTCAATGTATTAGTTATCAAGGTTCAACAGATAATGCGCACTGAGTAAACAATAAAGACACAAATCAATATTTTCAATAGCTTGCGGATGTAATTGTTCTTTATTGCGTTTATCATGTTCGCGTGAACTACTAAACTACATAGCGAAGATTAATCGGGTGTCCTCCCGTCAGGGTGCGGGAATTGATACGTGGAACCTTTTTTAACGTCTACGAGGAAAGTTTCGAGGCGGCTACTGGCTGGGCCCACGATCATCGACGGTAACACATCGTGCTCTATCACTGCCATCAGTTTGTTGAATTGAGATTGGTAGACAAGCGACAACTTGTATGCCGAGGTCTGGTAGGAAAGAACAACGTGACAGCGGTGTAAGTGCTATGTTATCGTCAACACGAAAAACCATCCGATGATACACAACATGGAGCACATCACACACCTCGATGAACTTGTATAGTATGTCGGCAGTGGTGGGAGATTTGGGATGCGAATTGAGGACCCTCGCGATAAAAGCCCAAGCATTGTGGATGCCGTGAGGATTGACGACGCCACGCGTATCGTCAGTCTGGCAGATTGCAGCGTACAATCGAACACACCCGCCCATTCTCTCCATATGCTGCTCGCCCGTTTCATTTTCTTTCCGACTGTGTGTTAACAAAGTTGGGAGCATAAGAGAAACGACACCCAAAACTAGATCAACGAGAATGAAACTTTCCAGATCATATGAACAAGGACGGGCCACAGATGCAGGCACTTTTGCTACAAAGCACACACCAGATGACAGTATTGTAATCCGCCGCGGACATAGTGCTAGTCCTCACGGAAAAATGTGGGATTGTGTAAGGACACCTTGCGTAGCACTCAGCCAAGAGGACTGGCAGCAGATCTCCGTACTGTAGTTGGATCACATAAAATCAGAATAAAGAGTTAAACTACACATGATCATAATTTATCGTCGACCTGTCTTCCATCTAGTCCATTGTAACATGCACGGCCAGTACGCGCGATCCGAGGAAATGTGCGGGGAAATCAATCATGAACTGGGGAAATCCTTGCTTGGAAATGGTGCAGATCTGCGGGACAACAGGTTGAACACTTGGTCTAAACTCAAGCAAGGAAACTGACAACAACACGGGCAACTGCCTGCATGTACGGTACCTGCGCGCACACTCCAACGCATACGGCGCCGAGCGGGAAGGCGGTCTTCAGGTTTACGTGACATTCCGAGAAAGCTTTACCAACGAGAAGCTCAGCTAACAGCAGAACTGCATACACAGACCATTCCTTGACGTTCATCGCCGCGACTCTCAGCATTTCATTGGTCAGCGACGTCACACAAGCCTCAATCTGCAGACAAAACGGCCGACTACTGCTTGGAAGGGTGGCTTATGCGACAACTAAGGTGACAGATAGTAAAATCCACTTGAAAGTAAACGAGCTCCGACCAATTTGCAACATGGCAACCCAAAACGTTAGGCAGGTGTATACTTGAGGAGATACATACTTTCCATAAAAACATTCTCGTAGATTTTCCTAGTTGAAGTACTTACGTTCTTTTGCGTGTTGGCGACCTTGTTGATAGCCCCATTGAGTGTCTTCTTGATGACGAAGCGATCTTTCTTCACTGCAGCATCCGTCGAGGTAGTGATCGGAGCTGCCGTTCTCTAAGCATCGAGTGCAATAAAATGTACCGTAAGAGTAGAAATTTGCGTTGCATGTGCACACGAGAATTACCAAATCTCACCCATACTCGCTGGTGCTGTTGTACATACCAAATGAGCTTCACGTATAGCAGAGTTTTTCTGAAAGTCTTCATTGCGAGTCCTATCCATGCTGACTGGACTAATCGATGCTGCCGGAGTAGCCGCTGATGTTGGCTTCTGCACGGCCGGTGTCACCGTGTTTGCAGATGACGCCGGTACACTCTGTTGAATAGTAGTAGGGGTCATGGAAGCTTCACTCGCTGTCTGCTGCGTACCTTTCGCAGCCTGAAGATGGTGAATCAACCAACTTCATATTAGTGGCCTAGCCGAAGGTTTTGTAAAAAGTCAGCAACAACTATGATCAAACAGTTCGCCAATATTGTGCCTCGCAAAGCAATCTGAAGTTTTATATTTAGCACCCACAACACTCGCAAAATTGTATATGCGATATAGAGATTTAACATTTCCGAAAGAAATTAATAGTGCATACGAGCATATAGTATGACTGTGGATAGGATGCGCAAGGTCCAGACATACTTCATTTTCTTTTTCCTCCTTTTTCGCAGCCTTATTCAACTCTGATGCTGTTTGTTCCCGTATTTTCCTTCGCGCCTAGTCAAGAGAGACACGAAGAGAGTACGCATGTCAAATCTTAATCAGCTTCCGGCCATTTTTTTTTGGAGTGCAGTGTGGATACAGCCTCAACAAAAAAAAAAACTCTGAAATAGTCTACTCACGGAATGTCGATAGATTCTGGTGAATGTTAAATCAAAGCCCAGGGGAAAAACAAAATAATATTGACATGACACTCATCAACGCATACCTCATCGGCGGCAGTTCTGATCGTGTCAATGTAATCGTCTGTCACGGCTTTCATCCTGTCTGCAAATTTCTCTATGCGCTCTACCGCCTTCGAAGCACGACTCTGAATACCTAATTGGAAGCTTTCTATTCGATCCAATTGCACTGTCGTGGCTTTCTTTTCCACTTGTTCTATCCAGTTCTGAACTTTAGCCATGTCATCGATAGCGGGAATATAGCATTGATTTTTGAAGTCAGTGCTCAGCTTTACTACCATATCCCCGATGGTTTTTCTCTGGTCCCCGGTAATCTCAAAGAGTAAATCACTTTCCTGCTCGCTCACAGCCTCTTTACACTCTTTTTTGAGGGCCTTCCATGTTGCGGCCAGTTTCGTTCTCCGGTCATTGAATTTGTTCGCGACAGCCTTGACCGCATCCAGTTCTAACATCAACTCTTTGTAAGCAGACGTTAGCGTGTCTAATTGATGTAGGCGCTCGTTCTCATCTTGTGCGCGCTGCAACGCATAGGCCTCGAATAATCGTTGCGCTTCTTGCATGGGATGTGTGAAAGCAGCATCGCCCGTTAACTGGATGCGGATTTCCTCATCCTCTCTCAATTTCTCTATCCGATCGTCTCGGAAGTCGCGCAAATGAGTATTGTATGCGCTATCAGGCATCTGAACTGGCATCACCTGTGACGCCCAGAGGTCTTCAATTTGTGGTAAAGAAGGGCCAGAACTTTTGGCTGGAACAGGCAGGAGCGCTAGCTGAAGCCATTCGAAGCGTTGTGACACACCTTCGCGTTCAAACTGCGCCACATCAGCATGGCCGATGGTGTGGTTGTCACCTTCATAGTCCGGACACCTGAATTTACTACCAAATATAAATAATAAAATAGCATGAGACGAGATACCACGGAAACAAGTGTTCAGTTATTCAACTATAAATCGTCTGGTAAACACGAAACTCGTAATCTGTCAGGCATAGTCAGCAACACCGAAAATCAGGTGAAAATATATGTACATTTTGAGGGCCGCATACACCAGTAATCGAAGCTACGCATACCTCTGTACATTCCTCCTCCAGTATGAGATATAAATCTAAAACTAGTAAATTTTAATCGCATACTAAACTTCTTAGCAGAAATGACGAAAGTTACACCAAACGACGACACAGGCCATAATTGGGCAGACAGGAGCTCAAAGTTGAGATACAGGACAAAGTGAATACATTGTAATACATGAGTGTATCCGGCAGAACATATGGACAGTCTATGATTGCACATCGATATGTACAGAAATCGGTAAGACCAGAAAAAAAAGAAAAATATTCGATATGAATCCGAATAAATCTTGTACGAGCGATGTCCGAGAAGGCAAAGTGCGTATATTTATAAGGATACAAAATTCTCCACGGCATTATGCATGAGTATTTGTCCAATTGAATACACACACCCACCCACACACACACACACATATATATATATGTAACAAAAAAAGGAAGGAGATATATTGGAAACATCTACAATCACCGCATAATTCGATAAATAACTACATATTTTATGATGTATATATATATACATATGCACACACACACACGCACTGATATATACACTATATATATATATATATATATATATATACATACATACATACATACACGAACACACACACATACATTAGATATATACACTATATATATATATATAATAACTACTTACATAACATACATACATACGACGAACACACACACAATAACACACACACACACACACAACACATATATATATATATATATATAAGTATATATTA